TAACAATGTAGGGGAGAGTGTTTTCTGTCTTTCTCAAGGTCAAAGGTATCACAATAACAACTTCCACCCTCAGTCACACTCCAAGGCTTCCTTCTCCGAGTCCTTTGTTCATAGCTGAGAGCAAGGACTAGGCCAAGATGACAGTGACTATTAACTGACAGGCAAAGGTCAAGGATCCTTTTCTTATGCTAATGACAGCCTCCTGCCATCTCAGTCATTTCCTTGGGATTAGGATTATGCCATAGGATTATGCCATGGGACTGCAGTTAGGGGGCAGATGCCAGGGAAAATCAGCATGCAGTCTGTCAGGGTGAGAAGCTGCCAAGCCAGTGAGGTCTGGAGTTCAAGTCCCTGCAGAAGGTTCCTGACCCTAACCTGCTGATCTTGGGGAGCAGAAGAGGCTAACCAGGGCAGGTAAGAACCATACTTTTGCTCTCCTTGGGTTTAGCTGCAGCCACTGAGGCATGGGAAAGCTGGTATGTGTGTGTGTGTGTGTGTGTGTGTGAGAGAGAGAGAGAGAGAGAGAGAGAGAGAGAGAGAGAATGTGTGTGAGTTCGTGCATGTGTTCGCATGTGTGTGTGCATATGCGTGTACAGGGAGGTATAGAAGAAAGTATGATGGCTGCTATCTGGAGGTACCCAGTGGCCATGTTGCTGACTACAGCCCTCTCAATGTGCTCTTCAAGCTTGTCTTTGTATGTCTCTCTCGTTATTGCCTCTTCTCCCTCTCCATTATCTTATCTGGTAGCTATTTTACCTACAATTTACCAGGTTATCTCAGAACTGGAGGGAAGGACAATGCCCATGTCTATGATCAGTGTGGCCTTTGGGACAGTATGAGAAGACCTAGGTGGGTATAAGGTTGTGTGCATGTCAGTTAGACATGCTGATCCTAGCCTTGCCCTTAAACACCTTTATCAAAGAGTCTAAGGCAGGACCGGCTATTCAGAGTGGATGCTCAAAACCCATGAAAGTAAACTAAATCTACTTGGCAAGCAGCAGTCCTTAAGCATCCTTCTAGTAGAGGTTTCTCTCTTTTTTTCCTTAGCCATCAACACCGTCTGTATAGCCAGGGACACAGGGAGAATCAGATACCACATTACTATAGGGAGTTTTCTAAAGGGAAAACATGTGATCAGTGTTTCGATGGGAGTGGGCAGGATGTTAGGAGAAGGATAGGATGCTACAAGTTAATGTGGTGGACCACACCTGTGGTACTAGTGAGGTAGTGGCAGGGGAATTAGGAGCTCAAGGTTGTCTTTAATATATGTATGTGTTAAAGGCCAACCTAAGCTATAAGAGACCCTTTCTCAAAAGAACAAACCAAAAAGAGGAAAAGTGGATTGGGTGGCTTGAAGGACAGATGCTTCTTTCTCCTAGTCCTGACATTTTTAAATTAGGGAGATGATGTGGTCTGGTGAGGATCCTGCTCCTGATTGGCTTTTGCTCTCATTTGTCAGGGAAGGGGGTTGGCAGAGAGACAGTGAGCTCACCAGCATCTCTTCTTGCAATGTCCCTCACTCCACTGTGCAGGCCCATCCTTGTGACCTAACTACCTCCCAGGAATCTCATCTCCCAACACAGCCATAATAGGGATTAAGATTTCAATACATCAATGGGGGTGTCCACAGTGGCAGGGGCCTTGGGAGGCTGGACGGAAGCCTGGGCAAAGAGCAAGCAGACGGAATCAGGCCCCATAGTTGGGGAAACAAAAGCGGCTCAACACTGCGGGGTGAGAGTTAGGGCTGGAGGGATCTGTGTGCTTCAGATTGCTGGCAAGCTCATCAGGACATACATTCCCAGGTCCTCTCCATCCCAAAGAACCAATGGCCCTGGGGAGGGGGGAGACCATGGGAGCAGTCTTTTGCCAGTGACCAGGGAGTTCACAGGTGTCCTGGTCAGTATCCTTCCTAGAGCCCCGAGTACTAGGTCACAGAGCACTCCGCCTTATTGTCTCTGGTTCCTGCCTTTAAGCCTGCTGCCTCCTTCCTTCATCATGTGCCCACCCAAGTACAAGACAGGAGAGTTGGGGAAAGAACAGGTTTCCAGTTGGGCAAGCTCCCTTAGTCTGTACAGTAGGGCATGACAGAGGTGTCTCCTCTACCTCGTTTCTGACTGACTGGACTCTAGCCTTATGATCTGGAAGGACAATCTTTCTCATTTCTCTGTCCTATGTGAGACGGAAATCACAAGCACAGGCTCCTCAGCCCTGCTGCGTTCAGAGAAGCTGGGGAGAAGGGGGAGGCCTGCCTGTGCCTCACCTAAGGTGAACCAGAGGCTTCTAGGAGAGTAGTTCTCTAGCTGCTCTAATGGCTGAGGGGCTGTGTGTTTTACCAGGCACTTTCACACCCCTGTCTATGCTGTGCATATGCTATTCTTTCTCAGATGCATCTCCTTCCCAATAGCTACCCGCTGCTGCTGATTCTGAGTCCCCATTCTCAGTGACACCACGTCCCACACAACACCTTCCCCTCAGTCAGCTGTTCCTGCAAGCAGTCCACACCACCCTGCGCTAGACTGACCTGAAACTCCAACACAAAAGTCTATATGCCTATCCCTCCTGCCTCAGTTTTGCTGGAAACTCAAGGTCATAATCTACAGTGCATAATTTTGTTTCATAGTCCCTGGTGCACCAGGAATGCAACAGATATCTGTGGGAATAAGCAGAATCCAGCTGAAGCTAGTGGTGCCCTCTGAGATAGGATGGCATGATGAAGTTTGCTGGTGGTTTTTTTTTTTTTTTTTTTGAGGCAGGTCTTGCTCTGTGGCTCTAGCAGGCCTGGTATGTGCTTCATATAGACTAGGCTAGTCTCAGATTTGTGGCCATCCTTTGTTTCAGGTTCCTGAGTGCTGGGATTACAGCATACATCACCCACAAAGACAAGATGATTTAACAACATTTTAAGAATTTGCTCTTTGGTATCTTTAGGGCTGGAGGCCCCTCCTCTTCCCCAAATAAATTAATGAGTAAACCTAAGGTGGCTGTTTGCATCTTAGAGGGCAGGAGGAAAGGCAGGGTTCCTTTAAACATTAAACCTTCTGAAACTTTCAGAAATATGCCTTAGAGATCATTAACTTCGGCAGGAGGAAGAGGGCCTGATTCAAAGGGTTTGATTTGTTTTGTTTTGTTTTACAGGGTCTCACTGTGTATTACTGGCTGGTCTGGAACTCACAGATATCTGCCTGCTTCTGCCCCCCAAATGCTTGGGGGCACTACCCCAAGCCACTACCCAGCTTCTATTTGAGTTTTTAATTTTATATTTTTAAATATTTATTTATTTATTTATTGCGTATACAGTGTTCTGCCTGAATGTGTGCCTTCAGGCCAGAAGAGGGCACCAGATCTCACTACAGATGGCTGTGAGCCACATGTGGTTCCTGGGAGTTGAACTCAGGACCTATGGAAGAGAAGCTAGTGCTCTTAACCTCCGAACCACATCTCCAGCCCTTTATTATTATTATTATTATTATTATTTAAAAGACAATTTAAGTTTTCATGTCATGCTGCAGATACTATCAACCACACTGAACAGTGTATTGAATGACAGAGATCCTTGAGTCCTTGAAGACCTGCACTTACTAGCTTGGTCCTGACTGTTGACCATATTTGCACAAAGGGACAATAGTGTTGCGCCCCTGAAGGTGCAGCACGATGATGGCACAGTGCTTAGAACAACACCTGTACAGGGGGACAGACCCTCTCGATAGGAACTGTCACCGTATTGTGACATGATTCGCATTAAAGTGGAGCAGAAAGTGCCTCGTTTAAGGAACACTTATTCTGGGAACGTGGTAGGAAGGTGCCTCTGACTCTGCTCACCAGGCTCACTTATACAGGGTTTTGTGGATAACATCTCTGGCTCCTAAATTGGTCCTACTGTCAGTTTCTGCCAGTCTGCTCAGATTTGGGCTGGATTAACTGGCCAGTTCCTCCCTCGGGCATTCAGCTCACTTAAGGGGAGATAAACATCTCTTGTGTTTCTGTAGTGCTCGGATTGAACCCAGGATGTCTTGCACACTAGGCAAATTTCCTCCCCCAGCATTACACCCTCAGCCTCACTTTTCATTTCGAGAAAGGGTCTCACAAATTTGAGTAGGTTGGCCTTGAACTAGCAGATCCTCCTGCTTCAGTCCCCAGATAAACTGAGATTACAGGCCCACACACACACCAGCACAAGGGGCTGTTGTTTCCCCTATGTGCAGTGCTCAGACCCTTAGCTCTGTGCAACTCTTTCTGTAGCTGCACCTGCCATCTAGCAGCTGACAGGCACAAAAGGTTAAGTACTCTAGCTTGAGGTACAACTTGGTAAAGGAACCATTAACGAGGACTTTCTCTTTTCAGAGGTTTTTTAAATATCCCGGTTCCTTTTACTGTCCTTTCCCGCCCCCTCAAAAAATGTGTTTGGACATTGGAGAGACTCGGTCACCTCCCTCTTGTTAGATGAGAAAGCTCCACGGATCTGTTGCCAGCCCTCTGTGGCTCCTTCAGCCAAGGCCTGAACCCAGGTCTGCTCAGGCATCCTCAGCGCCCTGCGAACCGGTCCCTTCCCAGAGCGGCTGGCAATGCAGACCCCACTTTTGGTGGACGGGGTGTGCGGTGCTCTCCGGCTTGCCTTGGAGCCTCTACATTGTGGCCAATGACCTTGACCTGGGAGGACGCCCAAGGGCAATGGGGTCGGCCCTGCGAGGAAGTCCACCGACTCATCCCGAAACGTTATCTACACCCAGCCTTCTTCGGCTTTTCCCTCCAATGAAGCTGGTGTAGTCGGCTGAAGCGTGGCGCCTCCGGCACTCCCGCTGCGCCCCACAGTCACTCCGGCTCTCCTCCGCCTTCGCCCCCGCGTCCCCAGGGAGGGATTTGGTCGGCGTCCGGGACACGGCCGGGTGCAGCCCGTGCGCCCCATACTCAGGGCGCATCCCCCGGCCGTCTGGGCAGGAGGAGAGTGGAGCCGCTGCTGCTCGGGACTCCCAGCTCCCAGCGTGCGCCCCGTTGAGCGGCCACGACCCCAGGAGGACTCGGGAGGCTGGGGGTGGGGACAGCCGAGGTCGCGGCTCCTCCAGCCCCTTCCGCTGCCCCTCCTCTCGCCTTCCTCGCCCACTCTTCCCGGGCCGGCCCCAGAGGCCGCCGGCTGGGCCTTTCACCTTCAAGCAAAGCCGTGAAGTAGCGGGCGTTGAGGAGGCCTGGGGCGCCGCGCGCACTCCCGCCAGCCCGACCTCGCCTCGCAGACCCCGGGGCCGGACGCCATCCCAGGGGCGAGGCCTGCGGGCCACACTCCCGCCTGCCCGGATTTAGGGCGAGTCCTTCCCGGGACTCTGCTGCGGTCCGGGACGGGGAGCGTGGGCCGGGGCCTCGCCTCTCCGAGGGATGGAGGGGATGGAGGCGGCAGCGAAGCCTGCGCGCCGCTCTCAGTGAGTACGGAGAGGAGCGGGCGGGGTGGGGGGCGCAGAGGGGATCTGGGCCTCCGGACCCGACGTCCCACCTCCGGAAGAGTTGAGGAGGCCCGCTCTTCACGTCCATTTTCGTTCTAGTTTTCCTGAGTTAAGAGCTTCCTTCGGTGCTAGGAGTGGAGGGCTCGGTAACTGTCTTCCAGGAAGGCGTCAGGAGGCCTTCAGAGGAGGGTCTCATTTTTTAAGGTCTGCAGACAAGGTTGTCTGGAGCACAGTTCCAGAGTTTACAGGTTCTGGAATTCTTTGGATTTTACTGAAAGGATTCATGTTACAATTCCAACCCTGGCTTCTGGTTTGGACCTCAGAAGAGAAGAGGTAGATGGGCTGCAAAGAGAGTAGCCTAGTGTAGTCTAGATTACCTGTTCTCAACCTTCCTAACCCTGTGTGACCCTTTAGTACAGTTCCCCCTATTGTGGTGACCCCCAACCATACAATCATTTTCGTTGCTACTTCACGATTGTAATTTTCTACTGTTAGGAATCATAAGGTAAATATCTATTTTCCGATGGTCTTAGGCAACCTCTGTGAAAGGGTCTTTAGACCCCCAAAGGGGTCTCTACACATAGGTTAAGAACCACTGCTCTAGAAATGACTTCTGTCATAAAGATAATCCTTAAACTTCACGGATTTACTGCTATGACATGTTGTGTTGTAGGTGTATCTTGCTTTATAAAATATGCATGTCCCTGAAAAGCATATATATTGAATTGTAATAAGTGATTGTAGAGGAACTTAACCCTTTAAGGACATCTTCTGGTGGACCCTTATTTTAAGAAGAGAGTAATTAACTCCTAATCTGTCTTTTATGCATGGATCTTATACACTGAGTTTACTTCAGATGGGACATACATAAACATAGGATGATTTCTCAGAGTAGTCTAACAGAGTAATGGGTAAGACACAGTAGCTTATACAGTGAGTAAACTACTTGATACTGTCCTTCTCTGTAAAGCCATTGAAATCAGTCCAGCCACCAAGGAGCTGTGTAACACTGGTGAGGCTTGTGACTACCATGGACTCAGGTCTTACCTAAGAATAAGGGGGTGTGGTTAATTGATCACGGTTCTGGAAGAGCCCTGGGCTTGGGATGAAAGCTTTTGGTTACAAAGTGAACTCCACCATGACATCCATGTGGTATAATTTCTGTATGCCTCCGTTTCCCCACCTGTTAAAAAGAGGGTACTAATAACATTCTAGCACAGACATGTCAGAATTACTTTAGAGAACGTTGAAGTGTTTGAAAGGTCTCTGCCTGGCATAGAGCAGATGGCTGATAGTTTATGACTGTCACTCTCTCCTTTTGAGTCTATGGCTTTTGCCACTGTGGTTGGGATGAGGCTGGCAGGCCCTGCCTTCTACCGGAAGCACAGGTCCTTCATCCACAAGGAAGAGTATGTTGGCCATTAGCCAACACTGACATGCTCTGAGGCCATCCATTAGCCCAGGATTGGGAAACCACACTGCTTTTCACTGTCCTCCACATTGGACACAGGATTAATTGTTTGAAGCCTTGTTTCTCTCACCTGTAAAATGGGGTTAGAAAAGCTAGGGACACAGCACAATGAGGCCCCAGACCCTCTGAGGGACTATTGGCAGTTAGTGGTTGCTGAGGAAGTGCCCGGGATCACTCTCTTTAATGGTATAAATACTGGTAAATTGCCCATGTTCCAGTAAGCACCCCTGTCCCCTCCTCACACATGAGAGAACATTACTCATGCCAGGAGGGAATAAGCTCAGTAGTAACTTGTTCATAATGCCCTTTGACTTGTCCTTTCCAGTGTGTGTCCACACTATGTAGAGGACACCCTTCTGCTCTGTCTTGAGATGTCTGAACAGGAGTCCACATCAGAGCACTCTGGGGACCACACTGGTTACTGGAGCCATCCAGGTACAGGGTTTCAGCTTCTCCTTTTTCCTGCAGAGCATCCAGGTCAGGAAGCAGAACAACCAGCCCCATGCATGTAACTCCAGCTGAAGCCAGAAATGGTCCTGAGCAGCCAGACCGTGGACCCCTCCCAAGACCCATGCTCTGCCCCCAGGAAGACCAACCACCTAGCCTGATGGTTCCCAAACCTTCTGGGGCATGGCCACTGCAGCTCCAAGGCCCTTCTGTGCTCGAGTCCAAGGTGAAGGCCTTGAAGGAGAAAATGATGGCAAGGAAACAAGGGGAAAATCCTTGTCCCACTTCCTCTGAGTGTCCATCCCCCACAAGATCCAAGTGCCAGCAAGTCAAGCTTGAAGCAGTCTGGAACCTACCTGAGGGCTCTCCTCTCTCAGATGCCCTGGTGATCCCCCATGTTCAGAACCAGATAGGTGGGCAGCTAGACGGCAGTGTTAATAAGAAGAAACCTGCCAGGAATGGTGGATCCAGACCATCTACCCCTGGCCTTGAGAGCTGGAATGGGCAAAGTCTGTGGTCCCCAGAAGAAATGTGGATGATGGCTGATCATGAGGAAGGCCCAACACCAGGACCTGGCTCTTTACAAGAGAGACCCAACAGCCATATTTCTTCAGGCCAGCCACGGGGGCCTGGTACCTCTAAAACCGCCCACTTGAGCAGCCGGAAGAAGAGAAGACCATACACACTTGGAGATGGTGTGATCACCGAGGGAGGTCTGGACAGCACAGCCCTGACCTCCAAGGAGGACTCAGTGCCCAGAACGGACCTGCAAGAGATGCTCCAGAGAGCTAGTGGCCTGGAGGCGCTGGGCACTGGGACACATGCTTTGTCCCTGTCTGACCAGGTGGAAAGGAACCGCCTCCTGCTGCAGGAGATGCTGAAGGCTTCCAGACAGAGTCCTCCCAAGGTGGAAAGCCCAGACTGGACTCCTCCCTGGGTCAGGGCTGTGTCAGGTGAGCCTTATTTTGCAGGTCTGGGTTGGAGCAAATGGGAAGTGGTATGGAAGCTGGAAAAAAGGGGAGAACACCATAATGTCATTCAAATGGTCACTTCCAGCTGCGACATGAAGTCCTTTATACCTCACAGGCAGCCTTAACTGCCACAAACCCTGTGGTCCTCCGTATCAGTAGGAGGACATCCTTTGTACTTGGGGACAGAGGCCATGTGACTCTTCCCTATGCCTTGTAGAGTGCCCTCATGTACTCCCTCGAATGACGTTGCCCCCATTGATGATGTCATCCCCACTGTGCTTTGCACTCTCTGGTGGGCTGGCAGGCAGGAGCACCTCCCTGCAGAGGTTGGGCAGAGAGCACCACAGGAACACTGTTGGAGGTGTGTGCTCAGACTCCAAAAGACATCCTTTCTTGAGCTTTCTTATTACCTTACCTGAGGGCGTGTATGGGGTCCTTTTCACCTACTCTGGGTTTACTCAATCTTTGTGGCAGCTGGTGCCTCCACTCCTCAGCCCAGAACATGGGTCCCAGTCCCTACTTTCTAGTCCCATTGTACCGGAGATTAGATTTCAGTGTGTGAATTTGGGGAACATAGACATTCAGCTCACATAGGGAGTAGAGCATCTCTCCTCTGTTCACCAAGTAGCAGTTGAGAGCCCAGTTGGTGGCTCTGTCCTGATCTCTGCTTCTGCTCTGGGCCCTAGAGCGACCAGCTGGAGACGTGGACTGGGACTCGGGCACCCCCCTGCAAGACTCAGGTCAGAGCAGGTAAGGGCTCTTCCTTACCACCATTCCTCCACATACTCTGCACCAGAATAATAGGAAACCTTGCAAAGGCCAGAGGAGAGAAAGCCAAAACTTCACCGGTGGATAGTGGCCACTGCCAACCATTGTCCTTGAGCTCCTGTAGAAGGTACTAGGCTGCTGCCTGCCTGTCATTTGAACAAAGCCACTGGGTGTAGAGGTCTGCAACAAGCCTTCTTCCAATTACCTGCTCTGTGTCCTGGAGGTCATTTCCCCTGCCTAGGCTTCTGTCTCTTTCAAGCAGGAGAAACTGAGAAGTCACAGCTGTCTGATTAGTTTGCATGGGTTGTTGTGAAGCTAAAGGAAATGGATGTGAAACTCCATAGGGAAAGTATAGGAACCCAAAACTTTAACCCCATCTGTTCTTGTCCTAATCAGAGGAATATGCTGGGCTCAGGATCTCGGGTTTCCCACAGGTTGTTTTCTAGTCCTTCCATTGCTGTTTGGGGAAGCTGGTGTCCAGAGTACAGCGGGGGAGTGAGGCAGTGTCCTGAGCCTGGAAGAGTGGAAAGAGAGGTGTGGTGGGAGCCATGTGGAGGTCTGAGCCTCTGCTGGTGTCCACTAAGAGGCTGACCTCAGCCTCAGCCTTTGCTGGGATGTTGGCACCCCAGGCTGAGCTAGGCCCTGGGACTGCTCCCATTTCTACAGCTGCACATGACATCAGTCTCTGAAGAGTCCCATGATGTCTGTCCACAGCTTTGTTTTTATTGATCAGGCTGCTCCCTGTGTGTCCCATTGTCCTCCCCAGAGCATGGGTAAGACCTCTGCCTTATAACTGACACAGCAGGTAACTTGCAAACCACAGGAATGCCATTCTTGCAGTTCAAAAGTGGTAATCAGCCCCCATTTCCTAATCCCACCCCCTAATCTCATCCCTTTGGGGGTGAGATTTCAATATATGAATTTTGGGAAACAGCCCATCTCTGCTTCTACTTTAGCAAGATGAGGTACCCAGAGTCAAGTTATCTGGGTTGTGTGCAGTGGGGGTGGGCTGGCGTGTGGAAAGAAGGATGCCTGGCTCTTTAGTCCCTCTGTATTTATGCCTGGTCTCTTCTGCCTTCCTGACTGCTGTCCTCAGCCTCCCATCACATCCTTATCTGGCCCTGCCCCTGTGGACCTCTACTCTGCTCCTGTCCTCTCTCTAGCTTCATCCCTGTGGAGCCCTCTGAGAAAGCCTGGGGAAAGGTATCTGCTTACTGTGGAGACAGAACCACTTTCCCTGCGGCTGCTGCCCTCTCCCACTCAGCCCTCCAGCCCACCCTAGTTCCCTCAAAGGAAGTGCAACTGCTGGGGGTTTGCTTAGAGGTCCTTGCAGAATGAAGGCAGCCCCTGGCTTGCACTGTAATAAGTTCTTATTACAAACCCTGCTTCTCATAAAGGAGCCACTCAGCCAGGGAAGGGAAGGATTTTCACACACTCTCAGGACTAGACTCCTAGTTTAGTTTAACCTGACAGACCATCTTTAGCAGGATTCAAGCATGAGAGTTGGATGTGATGGCACATAGCTGGCATCCCATCTCTTGGGAGGCTGAGGCAACAGAATCGTAAGTCCCATGCCCACCTGGGCTACAGAGTAAAACATTGTCTAAAAAAGAGACAGACAAACAGATCTCAGGTATGACATGTGTGCATGTGTATTGTATGATTCACATATATATTTGTGTGTTGTGGGAGGGCATATACACACAGAGAGAAAGACTGACAAACTTGTTTTAGGGCCCTGTTCAAAGACTAGTAAAATGTCCCCTTAGAGTGCCTGGCATATCAAACCAGGTTAACCCAGCATATCATGCTCCTATTTGTTACTGCTCTACAAGGTGGTAAGGCAAGCTCATGGAATGACATTGATTGCGAAGCTCTGTGCTTGAGTCTCGTGTATCCAGACCAGCTTGTTGCAAGGTGGTCTTAAGGAGTCAGCCATGGAGGTGAGCCACCTAAAGATTCAGGACCTCAAATCCTGCAGGAGACCTCTGTCCCCTGTGCCTGTCCAGGGTTATTCTCTATTAAGGGCCAGGCTTTTGCTGTGTCCTATAGGGCTAAAACATACTAGTGGCCAGTTGAAAGAGCAGGCCAGAAACTGCCATTTCCCCCTCTGGTTATATACCAGGTGCTGTGCAGGCGCTGTTACTGCATCTCACTTTGTCCGTTGGGCAGACTGTAGCTATTGTTCCTGCTTTGCAGGCAGAGGTCTCTAGAGGAGGCCAAGTGACTTGCCCAGGGCTTGGAGTTAGGATTTGAACTCTGGCTCCAGGGCTTATGCTCTGACTGCTTATGGGGCACTGCCTTGAGCTGTCCTTTCTATGCCTCGACAGGCCATCCCTTGGATAAGCAACCCTTGGGCTGGGGATCTAGGGTCTTCTACCTCCCTCCAGCCTGGTGTATTGTCTGCTGTGGGAAGAGAGGTGTATGGGCCAGAGTGTGTGTCAGTGTGCTTTCAGAAGGAATCGCCGGCTCTTTACCATTGTCACTGCCTACAGGAACTGCCTGCCCCTACTGCCACCAATGCTATTACTGGTGTTTCTCCTCGAGTTCCTGGAGGCAGGAACTGTGCCATTCTGGGACAGGTGTTCATAAAATGCCTGGCAAAGGCAGGCAGGAAAGAGCTGATTGAGGGCTCCCTGACAGCTGGAGCCTGTGTGGGCTTGCAAGGGTCTGGTTGGAAGCAGAAGGAGCATTCCAGATGGGAGAGGCTTTAGAAACGCTTGGGAGCATCTGAGGTGGAATGTGTGATGATCCGTAGAGGTAGCCGTCTGCCCCGCCCGCCCGGGGAGAGCCTGGAATTGAGATCTCATCTGAGTGCAGAGGCATTCATTCAGTGGTCTCCTTCCTGCTCCCACTGCCTCCCCCTGCATAGGAGGAGGCCCTTATCTCCTGGTGTGAGTCCTGTGGGCTGAGATCATCCAGCCTGGGAAGAGCGTTTGATTTTTTTTTTTTTTCTTCTGGGCCTAGAGCAGCAAGGAGTCATGTAGATAGACTTGTGCACGGACACTGGTCAGCTCCAGCATTCTTTGGGCCATAGAGGTTGATGTCACTGAAAGTGGTTGAGCCCCAAGTGGCTTGCTTACCGTTATCCTGTGCCCACCACATAGATACAGACACAAAGAAAGCTGTGCACTTGCAGTCCCAAGGGACTCAAAGGAAAAGAAAAACCAGCAGAGCAACACACCAAGCCTTTAATGCTTAATCAGCTTTGGAACCTTCAGGTGCACTGTCCCGTGCCACACTGGTCACCATACTCACATTCACCCCCCCCCCACAGAATCCTCCCCTCCCTGCCCCTCCCCTCCTTCCCCCTCCCTGTCCCCTCCCTCCTTTCCCCTTCCTCCCCTCCCCCCTCCTCCCCTCCCTCCCTGCACCCCTCCCCCTCCTTCCCTCCCTCCCTGCTCCCTTTCCTCCTCCCCCCTCCTCCCCACCCCCTCCTCCCCTACTTCCCTTCTCCCCTCCCTTCTTCCCTCCCTCCTCCCTTCCCTCCTTTACTCCTTCCCGCTGTCTGCCCCTCTTCCCTTCCTTCCTCCCTCCACCTTCCTCCCCTCCCTCCTCCCCTCCCTCCCTTCTCCCCTGCCTCCCTCCCTCCTCCCTCCTTCCCTTTGAAGCAGTAGTAAAGACCTCTGTCCTTGGCTATCAAAGACTTTAATATACACAAATGGAGCAAGATAAAACAAAGGCTTTAGACAGGCTCAGCATGCTCCATGCTTTCCCTCCACCGTTTGCATCCTAGAGTCTATTCCTTATTTCCTGATTCATGTTCCTGAGATGAAGGGGTTAACTGCAGGCATGCTGGAGTCTAACATTGTAATCCAGGAGCATGATAGCTGCAGAGAAATGTATCTCTCTCCCCCTTGGCTTTCCTGCCTGTGAGAGGTAAGACTCTCCTGACCTGCCAAGCTGGAAGGGTGCTAAAGCCACTGCTTAACTTGTCCCCTCTCCAAGAACCTGGTCTAGAGCAGAGGGCAAAGCTCACAGGCTCCCTTTGTCCTCAGGATGCAGGTGGTGTGAGGGTTAGAGGCAAAGGTGGGAACTCACACCTGTGGACCTCTAGCTTTCCCAATAAGTAGTCCTTGGACGACCACTGGACAAGAGCCAGTCCTGTGGTCCAAATGCCCCCTAGGTGGGAACCTCAGGACTCCCGCCCCACCAAAGCCTGTCTGGCCAAAGACCCAGACTCAGGGTGGCAGTGTGAGCCCTCCCTCTCCTTTATAAAGGCTCATGCTTTCTGATGGGAACTGAGACCCTGCAGGAAAAGCACTCAGCCGCCTCTTCCTACGCCCAATGAGCTTCAGAAACTCAGGCTTCAAGGTGGTGATGAATGCAGTTTGTTTGTAGCTAGTATTGCCTATGCCTGGCTGCACACTGCCTGGCTTTGCCAGGAAATTTCCAAAGGAATTGGAAGAACTGGGATTGTGGGTTTTAATTCATGTTAGGAAGGGTTGGCTCTGGGGCTACGTGTCTCTCTCTGGTCCAGGATCAAATGAGAAAGGAGTCTTCCTCAGCTGGAAGCTTGAACCTATCTTTCTGGAATGGAGGGTCACCTCTGGTGTGGTGATACCTGCTTGGTGTGTGTGGTACCTGCTGGCTCCTCCGCCTGGGAGAGAAAGACCACCCACTTTTCCTGAGCTGCCAGAGCCTCCATCTCCAGGGTACACAATGACGTCCTTGCTTTGCTGACCTTGGCTGCAGTCTGTGAAGGTGGCTGCCACTCTCCTCCCTGCTTGCAGTGTTGCTGCATAGATGCCTTCAGGCGGCCAGAAAGCCTGCCTTTCTAATCAGTGGAGAAACTAGCTTTGTCTGCCAGACTGAAACGGGGCAGTTGCTGGAGGAGGCAGGGAGGTGGACAGCTGTCCCAAAAAGGAAACAGCAAAGCTGGAAATGGCTTAGAAACCTGTGGGCAAGGCTGATCGAAGCAGCATCCAGCCAGCTGCCGAGGGCCCTCTCGTGCCTGCCCACCAGGCCTTGTGACAAATGCCCTCCGACAGTCACAGAAGCACAGCTGTCACCGGAAGGCTGTGAGCATGCCGGCTGGCAGCCAGAGGCCCGCGGCTGCAGGAGAACCTCTGTGCCCGGTATCCTCATTATCTCTGCCGTTGGAAACTGGAGCCCCCGGGAGCACAGCTGCTCTCAGCTGCGGTTTTGGGAGCTGCCTGCTCTGGAAGCCATGTCAGGGGAGCCTCGCCTGCCAACGGAGGCCTCATGGGGCATCAGGCCGCAGGCCTGGGGAAGAACTTTTTTTTTTTTTTTGCATCGTTCTGATGAAGCTCTCTCTCCAAGCCCGGCCTCGCCCTGCCAGAACTCATGGCACAGATGGTCCCTTTATGCTAGCAGCCTTTCCCCCTCTGCCCCAAAGCAGTGTTCAGAGCACATGACAAGAAGAAAACAAAAAGCCATCATCTGCTCAGAGCCAGTTCAAGGGTGTCCCAAGGAGCCCTTGTCCTGGAGGCCTTTGTCCACTCCTGTCATGAGAGTCCCTAGTACTTCCTGAGGTCAGGGTGAGGCTCTTTCCCCCATGCAGCATATGGACGGAATTAGGGGTGTCCCAGGTGTGAGATTTTTAAGCCCTGCTGAGCCTTTGGCTAAATTCTCTTTCTGGGGACCCTTCCTGTGAGCAGAGCCAAGCATATGTGAGTGTCTGACCTCAGTTGTGGGCATCCTTGCTCATCTGGTGTCCATGGAGGAAGAGGGCAGGGTGTGGAATGAGGCTAGAGACTGGGGCTGGCTGTCAGCTGCATCACTCTGCTCAGCTCACAATTGATGTTCGACCTTGAGCAATGTGTCAATATTCCTCTCTGGTCCAGACACCCTTATCTGTCAAGCTCGGGAACACCTGCCCTTGTCCAGCCTGGCTGTGAAAAGCAAACTGTGCAGAGAAAGCCATCTTGTCATAGGGAAGTGTGGGCTACTCTTACTTCCATAACCCAGAACAGGTGGTGTGTCGCTGGCTCGAAGACAGCTTTGGGAAGAGGTGTCTGTCATCCCTGCAGCTCTGGACTGGCCAGGGAGGCAGCACATCTGGTTGGTGGTTCTCCAGCAGGGGACCCTTATTATTGTGAAGATGGAGCCATGTGCTGACTGCTTTGAATCCAGCTTAGTTTCCCTCTGCCCTGAGTCTCTGAGCCCCGAATTGACCCCTGACTGGTCTGGATTGAGACTATGACAAGAAAACACCAGGGTTTATAAAACATTATCCCCCAAAGGACCAAGACTGTGACAGGCAGCGCCTTGGCCCTGTGTTTGTGGTGGGAGCTGGGGACAGTCCTGTGTGGGCTCTGGTGGGTGTGGGTGTGTGGGCATTGAGAGACAGAACTAGACAGGGAGGCCATGCATGGAAAGACCATCTGTCTGGGCACAGGCCCAGATCCATAACCCTGGGGCCTTCCCTTTTCCTCTCTCCAAAAGCTGCTGCTTCTGCCCAGGGAGGGACAATAGGATGGCCAGACTCCCCTGCCCCTTTTCCAGCCCCTCCCGGCAGATGTCCAAGGTCAGGTTGGCTCCCCAGCTCCCGTCTGAGCTCAGGGTGTTTCCAGGCCTCAGGGGTTGGGGTGGAGTGGGGAGGAGGAAACCCTGTGTGAGAGTTAGAAGGGGAAGGTTGTGTATACGAGGCTTTTTCTTTTCTTTTTTTTTTTTTTTGCAGAGCTGGGCTTAATACCATTAAAGCCTCCTAAGCCCTGTTATTTTCTTTTAATCCCCGCACTGTCCATCCTGGCCTGTGCTACCCTGCAGGACCTTTGTTCCCAAGCTGGAGCCTGCGCTGAGTGCCAGGTATGAGGGAACCAAGCATCTGATACAGCGTGCTCGCATGAAGGCCAGGACCCAACCGCTCCGAGCCAGCCATGATATTGTGCCCGCCACTGCTCAGCACTGTGGGTGAGTGGGGCCTAAGCCAGGCTGGCCTGGGAGGGCTTGTGGCAGGGAAGGGTCAACAGCAAAACTAGTTCAAATATAGCTAAAATGCTTTTGTTCTCTCTCTCTCTCTCTCTCTCTCTCTCTCTCTCTCTGTATGTGTGCACGTGTGCATATGTTTCCTGTGTTAGGCATTTGCTGTGATCAGTCAGCACACCATTACCCAAGGTGTCATAAACTGAGATATAACATGTGACCTGAGCTCTCCGGGGGCATAGCAATCACAGTCTCCAGGGAGAGAGACAACCAAACACCTAATCAGTTCCGTGGGTTATAGTGGAGGAGAGGAAAAGCATGTGTGCAGAGCTGGCGACATGTAGCTCCACCTGGAAGGGACAGGTGAAGCTCTCAAATGGGTGTGGCTTCCCAGATGGGGTTTACAGGGACTGTGAATGTTCACCGGGCAGATGCAGGGAGGAAGGGACACTATTCTAAGGGATGGGAGCTGTGAGAGGAAGCACAGTCAGCCAGAAAGAGAGAATCTATCAAGTGTAGCATGAAGTCTAGAGACCTGCATAGAGATCGGCCGTGGAGGAACTCCAGGCCTGTTGAACGCCAGGCTTATAAGTCCCTGTACTGGTATGGGACCACCAAGATGGGTAAACAGGTAGGTTAAACAGGGTTAGGGTTATATTAGTGTGCGAATGGGCCCCTAGCCAAAGGGGATGCCTAGGTTCAGGGGCAGGCTTTAGGAGGAGGACTCCTAAAGCAGCCACTGGAGATGCCCGGTGAACAGCTGGATACAGGATCATTAGAGGTGAGGCCAGAACAGGAGATGTGGGTACCATGGTGAGTTCGTCGTGCTGGAGCTGCAAGAGGGAGCATCCAGGGTGTGGAGCTGAAAAGAGGGCTGGGAGCTCTTGGACTAGCATATCATTATGTGACTGCCCGAACCACATGCCTGTCCCCAGCATTGTGCTTGTTCTTTTTATGGCACACCTTAAAGAGTTACTTACGCGTGGAACTCTCCAGCACAGAGACGCAGACCCTCATCATGCTCCAAACTGTCAGGCCATGCAGGCCCACCTCTGTAATTGACAAGGCCTGAGGCTCCACAGGCATGATGGACACACTGGGTTTGCTCATCTTTGTAGTCATCATGTGGTACCAGGGGGAATGAGGATTCTTAGTAGAAGGGAACTATGTGCTCTTTGATTTGATGGGGCATGGTGTATCTGTTCACTAAAGGTCCTGGCCATTTACAGAACCACTGCCATGACTCTGTTGCAGTCAGAGGACTCAATGTCACTGTGACCCTTAGGACAGGGGCACAAGAGACCCCAAATCCTAGTAAACTGTGCCCATCAGATCACTCATTCCTACATGTATGCCTCACTACAGAGTACTCACTGGAATGACATGGCTTCTTTTAGGTGTCCTAGTTGTTCCCCACATGTGCAGAGAGATGCTTTAGACAGCCAAGGCACTCCTGCAGTTTTCTATAGGAATTACATCAGAGTGGGGAGGCACACATAGACAAGACTGCAAAACATGCGTGTGCTTTGTCTCTAGTTCATTACACCTGGTTTTAGCATCCAATAGCTCTTGTAAAGTAGGTTTCCCCTGTCTTGGCCATAAAAATGCTATAAGAATGCAAGGTGACCTACTTCAGCAGCTGCTATGTCCAGGAAAGAATTTCTATGACTTGGCAGCGCTGGTGAATCCTCAGAGGGCAGAGCTGAAAAATCCATACCAGATGGCTTGCTGCAGCTGCTTTGAAAGGTTATGCTCCAGCAGATCACCCTGGAGGGTAGGCAGAGCTAACATAATGATGCCATGCAGGTCCCAGGACTCAGCTGGAAGCAGGAGGTGCCCCCCCCCCAGCCCCAAAGAGTAGGGGCAGGCAGAGCAATCTGCAGAAGGCCCTCTTTAGCCCAGGTCTACCTAGAGGCAGCCAGGTGAGCCTGGATGCAGGCCTTGCCCAGGCAGGAAGAGGTGGAGACAGGTGTGTTGTCTGGAAGTCAGTCCACATAGAAATTAAGCAGTTCCTGGCAGCAGAAGCTATTGCCACTTGGGATAGGCAAGAGCATAGGACATGTCACTTAATCACAAAAGGATAGGTCATGTCAGCAGGCTGCACCCTGGGAAGTTTTGTTCTGTGTGAGACTGCAGAGCTTGCAAATATCACATCAATTGGATAGTATTGTCATAGAAAGTGAGGATAGCAATGTTAGAAAGTGAGGCTATGGAAAGGGACTCGCCTCCCCAAAGTGCACACAACTTCAGCAGAGGCTCTGAGCTTGGCTGGAACCCTGTCCTTGAGGGGCATCACCTTGGGAGGCAAAGCAGCTCTGGGATTTGCTTTTGGCTTAGCTGCCTCATGTGTGTCTGCCTAGGTCCCTGCTTCCCTGTGCTGTTGTCTGTGTTGCTGCTTGGAGCCTTGACATCTGAATAATTGCATTGATGCTTACATGATTAGTTCTTTATTTTATTCTACTTATTATGACAACGATTTGGTTTTGTGGGGGTTTTGTTGTTGTTTTGTTTTGTTTGAGACAGAGTCTCACTGTGTGGTCCTAGCTAGCCTAGAACTCACTTTGTAGACTAGGTTGATCTTGAATTTGTAGACATACATGTCTCTGCCTGCCCCCTTCACCGAAGTGTTGGAATTAAAGGTGTACACCACCATATCCATCAAGTTCTTGTTTTTGAGATGGGATCTCATTCTGTAGTCTAGCATTCCTTGAACTCAGAATCCTCCTGCCTCAGCCTCTTGAATGCTAGGATTAGAGATATGTGTTACCATACCCAGCTTTTGTTTTTCTTTTAAAACAAAAATTGTATTTCTCTCCTTGGAGTGAATTTAAGATGGCTCAGTTCACCTGATCTGTGTGTAAACTTAAGGCTAGGGCTGTAGCTCATGTGACACAGACTATTACTGTACTGCCCTGAAAACAGATTCATTTTTTTTTTCCTTACCAGGACTCACACCTTTCCAAGGGAACAGGGTGCTGGCCCTGGAGCCCAGGAGGTGGAAGGGTGGCTCTGAGCCAGTGAACCACACTTGTGCAGTACAGACCTGGCTGCCCGCCTGTCCCACCTCTGTGCTGGGCTTAGAACTTGTGCCTGATGAGGTCGCACTTGTTTGCTGTTGCTCAGTAGCTCCTCCAGGACAGTAAAAGGGTGGTCCAGGTGTTCAATGCAAGAATAGATCATGCAGGTTATTTACTCCAGAGAAGCACAACCAATAGGGATGTATCTGTAGAAGGAGAGGGTTACTGTGAGGAGTTGGCTTGCAGACTGGTAGAAGCCTGGTAAATCCTGAACCCGAAGTCTAGGCCGGCCAGCTCAATTCCAAAGACAGCCTGTAGACAGAATGCCTTTTTGCCCCAGGGAGACCAGCCTTGGTTTTCCTCAGGCCTTTAACTGACAGGATGAAGCCACCACATAGTGGAAGGTAATGATCTTTGTTCAAAATCTGTCATCTTAAATGTTAATTTTGTCTTTAAAAAAAAAAACAAAAACAATAACAAAAAGCCTCTGTGTGGTAACATCCAGAATAATGATTGAGCATTTAGGTTGTGGGCCTACCGTGTTAACATTAGATTAACCACCTTGTTACCAGCCGTGGGAGGTGCTACCTCCCACCCCCCACCACCCCCAACCCACCCCCAGCCTACCACACCTCCCCCACCCCAAAATCTGAGGACTTCTCAGAGATCTCCACTCTGGTACAGCCAAGCTCTTGACTAACTCTGTAGAAAAGAATTTTAGGATACGTCTTCATGAAGCAAACTGGAGCTTATTAAACAGAGGTGGCACATGCTCAAAGAGACGTCAAGAAAGGTACATATTTAAGTATCCCAGCAGTAGTTATGTGTGGGATTTTGTGGCCTTTGAAGTTCCACTGTTCAGTGGGTAGGAGCAGAGCTGGAGAGGGCAGAGGTGGTGGCCCTATATGCTTACCCCAAAGGCTATCACTTATGCCCCTGGTTGGTAATGTGATGAGATGCCAACTATGCTCCATGAGGAAACAAGTCAGGAGGTGCGAAGGAAACAGGCTAAGAGGCCACTGCTCTGTGAGATAAAATAATGAGTGGGAGAAACTCAGTCAGCCTCAAAGACAGCCCATAGATCAGTGGGGAAGGCCCCAGTGGGAACAGGAAGATGTATGGGCCTTGGACCTGGGCCCATTTGCATAATTCTGTTAGCTTGTATGGATCTGAGTAGGACTTGGCTATCAGCCAGTGTTTTCCAGAGCCAAAGCTAATAAAAGATAGGAAGATTCTCCATCACAGCCATGCACATCTGAAGACAGATGTGGGTGTGGAGGTGGGATGGGGGGCAGCGGCTTTGGGGCTATCTAAGGGAAGCACCTGGGGGAACTGGTATGCAGTTCATCCTAGCAAGACCTGAGGAATCCTGAGTGGGATTGTGAGGTCAAGAATGCTGGCGTTCAGACTTCCAGGCTCACAGAATACCCACGATGGCCTTGCAGCACTTAGAACTGCTCTTTGGTGTTCACAGGGGACTGGTTCTAGGACCCACCCCCTTGGGTACCAGAGCCCACGAATGGTCAAGCATCCTCCTGTACATATTAAGCCATCCCTAGACTACCCACAACCTTTAACATCATGGAAGTACTTTACAATGGTTGGTATATTGTTGTTTTTAGGGGATGACAAGGAGAATGAGATCCCTGCATGTTCAGTATAGATACGGGATTTTATTTTCAAATATTTTTATTACATGATTGGACTCTCTAGATGTGGAGCCCACTCACACATGACTGAGTTGCATATGTTTCTGCAACTCATCCCTGCCAAGTCAAACCACCGGAACACACACATGTGCACACACAGAGTGCACATACACTGTGTACACACACGCGTGCGTGCACACACAGAGTGCACATATAAGCTCTGCTACCTTCCTTTGTGCCTTCCCTAGTTTAGTAGCTTTTCTTGTGAACTCATACTGACCCCAGCAACAGAAAGCAAGTTAAAAGTCAAGGAGATTGCATCTGTTTTGTTGAACAGGGTGTATTAGGATGTACTTGGGATGTGGACATTCTACAGAATGCACAGGGTGGGCCTGGGGTTTGCGTCTGACTTCCCAGGAGCTTGCCTGGGTGTACCCATTGTGGATGAGGCCTGGGCCAGAGCACATCCAGGGCCATGTTTCCCTTCCTCACCACTTTCTTGCTTGTGACCTCTTTCCTGTCTCCTCACTAGAAATGGCCAAAGAAGCCCAGTTCTGGATGTCAGGAGAGCCTCTGCCTCCAGAGAGAGCCTCCAGAATGGGGACCGGAGTGACTCCTCCAGTGTAGAGTCTGGTGATGGGCAATGGCCCAAGCAGGGAATGCCCCTGTCTCATGTCCGTTTTGAAGATGAGTCTGCCCATGAGGCTGAGTTCCGGTACCTCGAACGGCTACGGCGGCGCCAGCGTCAGGGGTTAAGCACAGTGCTACATGCTGTGGGCCAGGGACCTCTGAGCTCCAAGCCTGACCTGAACAACTACATTAATGGTAACATGGGCAACAGCTCATGCCACAGGCCTGTGGGCTCCCTGGACCACAGTAACTTCCCTGTACCACCGTCTACATGGGGCAGTGAGAGGAAGTGCCCAGCCTGTGGCAGCTGTCTTGAGGAGCGTTATCCTGCTGAGAGGAGAGCAGCCCCTGACCTGAGGGTCCTCCAGGGTCTCCAGGCAGCCTGTGAGGCAGAGGCATTGCTCCTGGGGCCCTGTAATTCCCACAGCTTGAACTCGCCATTCCCAGGGCTCCACACAGAATGGATCCAGGAAACACACATCACAGACACTATTGCCACACATCCAGAGGAGAGGAACTCTGCCCTGGACAGCACCAATGGTTCAGACAGCTGGACTGACAGTAAGGATGCCAGGACCTCTCAGCCCAGCAGGGCAGGTGGGCAGGCCCAAGGCAGCAGCCCCCAACAGTGGCAGCATGGCTCTAAGCCTCGGGAAGGCCCCAGGTGGTCCAGAAAGGCTGAGGTGGAGCTGCCCTGGGGCATTCAGGCCTGGCCTCACCTACATGAGGTTGGTGATGTGGTTGTGGCAGGGGAGGTAAAAGGAGCCACAGGACACATACCACAAGGGACTTCATTGGTAAATGAAGATGCTGTGCCTAAACCTGCCTTGGAATCTAAGGGGCCTTGGTCCCAGGGGCAACTTGGAGCACAGTTAGGAAATCACTGGGCCCACCCTGAAACCTCTTGGACTCCATGCAAGACAGCTTATGCTGTGTCGTTTTCCAAGAAACTTGGGTCCTCAGGGTCAGGCCAACCAGACCAAGTTGCTGAAATCCACGAGTCTCCGGAAACTGTATGCACTTCTTCCATCCAACAGAGCCACGAAGAGCCCTCTGCCCCTCACCCAGCCCTCCAGCCAACTTTGCCCCTCTCCCTTGAAGGCTGGGTGCCAACCCCTCCCTCTTCAAGGAAATCCCTCTGTCCAGTGCCTCCGAAGAAGTCAACCTGGACTGGACATCATGGGCAGGAACATCCGGTGGAACATATGGATACCCCCCTGCCTCTGTCCCCTTCAAGAACTTTGGTTCTCACACCACCCCAGCCCTGCAGCCCCCGTGTCAAGCATCCACTGCTGGGCTTGTCCACCAACAACTACAACTACAACAGCAGTGTCCCTCTGGGGCTACAGGAGCCCTGGGGAGCAACTTCCCACAAGAGTAGAGCTGAGATGGACCACCACAGCCAGGAGCCTGGACTGCCCCTGGAGAGTGATAGAGATGGTAAGGATTGCTGTCCTCCTTGTTCAGCCCTGGTCTGTGGCATTCACTTGCTCTCTATCTTGATCTCCATATGGTAAGTCCACACACCACCCCCAGCATCCCTGTGGATCCCTCACATCAGCAGCACGTGTCAGGGAGGTGGGGGATGCGATGTGGGCCAGATTCAGGATTCAGCATTAGCATGGAGCAAGTTAGCCAGTTTTCTGTGCTTGGGGAGGCAGGGCTTGGACCATGGGCAAGATGAGGAAGGTACCCTCTTTTTGCTGGGAAGGTGATGTGTAGGGAAGCTCCTGTCCACAGCTGCTGGAGGCCAGGCTTTGTGAGGATTTGACTCCTGTAAAGTATGAAGAAGTCAGCAGCCCTGGAATCCACTATTGCTTAGAAACTAACTATTCTCTAATCACCCTCCCTTCCACCATCTTTCTCTTGTGCCTGGCACTCTTCCATTTACTGCTAACACCTGTGCATACTTCGACCTGTCCTGGGAACGGTGGGAAATGCATTGAAAATGACATAAACAGGGTCCTGTGGCCACACGTGTCTGTGGCTGGCTTGCATCTAGCCGCTTCTGCGGGGCTTCTGAGATCTAGTGACCTTTCTGGGGAGCCTGGGTCTGTACCTCCTTGGAAGCATGGCAAGGATTATCTTGTTAGTGACAGGGCCCCTGAGGATCACTTCTTCTCTGTGTGCTCATGTTGTCTTATCCAGGAAGTAAGGGTTAAAACAGGGCCTGTGCCATGGCCACAAGGTCAAACCTATGCAGGGCTCAGCATCACCCAATGCATGCAGTGCTCCCAAGATGGGAGCGGCTGCCAAAGCTGTGACAGCTTTAGATGTGTTTGCCCTGCTTCTGACTGTGTCCCTTGACATATAACAAATGACTTGTCACTTAACAAATACTTGTCAGTCCTCAAACAGTTTCCAGTTTAGAGGGTACTCAAGGATGGGCCCTGGCCACCATCACTGACTGCCTCCCGGGACTCCCCTGCCTCTGCTCCCGTGCTCCCACCTGCCCCATTGTCTCCTGTCCCTAAGACTGGGGCTGGTGGCGGTAGGGGGCGCTGTGCTGTTGTTACAGGAACACCCCAGGACTCTCTCCAGTCAGCAGATGCCTTCACCCTCTCCCTCACCTCAGAGGAGCCTGAGTGCAGCCCGGAGCTGGGAGGAGAGCTACACAGGACAGAATCCAGCTCTGGAGGCCACATGCCCACTGGGTGAGTGGCAGAAACAAACCCTGACTACAGTGAGCGTGTTGGATGGGGAAATCCCACTCGGAGTGGTAGCATCGCTAACCTTTCTCTCCCAGACCCTGAGGGTCTCCTAAACCATGTCCTGGCTCCCCAACTCACCATTCTCCATCCTTTTTACTACTCCCCTCTCTCTTTCTCTCTCTCTCTGTGCGTGCGTGTGTGTGTGTGTGTGTGTGTGTGTGTGCGTGCACGTGTGTTACATATGTGTTCATGGGGGTACATATGTCTGGGGACACATGGATGTGAGTATGTGTACAGGCCAGATGTTGTCACTGAGTGACACTTAGTTGACAGTTGCTCTGCACCTTGTTTTTTGATCCCCAGGGATCCACTTGTGTCTGCCTCCCAGAACTGGAGTTATGAACATGCTCTGCCATGTGCCTGGCTTTTAAATGGGTGCTGGGATCTGAACTCGGGTCCTCATGTTTGTGTGCTAAGCACTTTATGTACCTCCAGCCCTACCTTTCCCAGTTCTCTTTAGCTGACAGACCTTGTGGAGCCACTGAGTTATCTGCCCACCCTTGAGACCCAGCTATTAATGCTACAACTGAGAGCCACAGGCCTTAGGGTGATTCTAGGGTGCAAACTCTTTCCCTCCTTTGCTTCAGCTGGGGTTAGACATGTGAGGCCTTGCTAGGGACCTCCAAAGCCTTGATGAACCTGGCACTTACTTCCACACAGCAGCACACAGCCTTCCTATGACCCAGTCAGGCCTGGGTGATTGCCAGAATGCAAGGTCTGTCTGGCCAGTTTCTCCCGGACACCTCTCCCAGGCATCTAGCTGTCCCCTCAAGAAAAGCTGAACAGCTGCTTTCCCCGTGCCCCGTTCCTGGCAGCCATACTGCTATCCACACAGGGCTTAACCCTGTATGTGCCTCCTCCTGCTCCCCACTTCCACCCTCTGGCAACCCTCTCCAGCCCCAGCCCTTTCTACTATCTGCTCCAAGCCGCCTTACTTCTTAGCTGCACGAGGGAATATTTTTAAAAACCCAATTAAATGGAATCATTGTCCTACTTAAAGGCCCACAGTAGTCCCTCTTCTTCTCTTCCTGGGGTTGACAGAGCTTGGCAGTGTGGTGGGCCTGCCTGCCTGGCCTCATATCACGCCCCTTCCAGCCTTTCTCACTACCTGGCTGCTGTTGTTGAATACACCTGACTTGTTTCTGCTCTGGCAGACACCCAGCTGCTCTGTGTGCCTGTGGCACTCACTTCCAGGGTTAATGGCCTGACTCCTGCCTGTCATTGGCCCTTGGCATAAAGATTGTCTTCTTCCCAAAGAGACCTTCCCTGGGAACTATTTAAAACAAGTGCCTGTCACACTCTGCTTCACTCCACACACCACTGTGAATGGTTTTCCCCCTTCATGTATTAGTATGTTGTCGATAAGGTTCTATACAACCTTAGCTAAGGGCAGATAGGAGGCCCATGCAACATCCCAACAGAGTGGAGTGAATGGATGATGAGCCCATGGCTGTGTGCTGTGGCAGGGGTATCCTGGACTCATGCTGTGTGCTGTGGCAGGGGCTATCCTGCAGCTGCTTTCACATGGTTCCCCTTGCTATAGCCTGATAGTGCCTTGCTGGGGACATCGGCACTGGTCCATCTGGGATGCAGGATGCAGCCAGCTCTTGCCAGCTCCTCAGCCATCTCCAGCCACATTATGCCTCACCCCTTTGTGTTTCAGAGTATCACCCGAGGCCAGTGCAGGGCACAAGCTGCCCTCTTCTGCCCATTCTGATGGGAACAAGAAAAGGAGGAGTAGTATCACCTCCACCCTGGGCCTCAAAAAACTCCTCTCAGCCTTGGGCCACAGCCCCCGGCCCAGACTTGGCACATCCCGAAGCTACAGTGTAGAACAGCTGCAACCCTCAGCACTGGCTCCCCATAGCAGTACCTCCAAAGTGAAGAGAGCCCCGTCATTACAAATCCTGCATCTGGTAAGTCCCCAGGGCCTTGGACAGTGGGGTGTGGCCCCAGTATTGCAGGCTATTGGAATGAAGGGTGGAAAAAGGCAGTGTTGAGGGCCCTTGCCTGTAGCCCACAGCACACGACTGGAGACCTGCTGGTGTCTGCACACCCGAGCCACAGGACTTGTGCTCACTGTGTTTGCAGTACCCCTTAATTCTACTCTTCTACCCACCACCTACTGTGTGTTCTTTCTCCCTCTTCCTTAAATTTGTTGCTTCTACTTTCTGGAGAGTTCATGGCCTGGTTTCTTTAACCTTATCCTTGGCCACGGAGACTCTTTTAGTCCAAACATAATTTCTTGCTTTCTTTTAAAAAAGAATAATTTTCTGTGTATATTTTTGCCTGCATGTATGTCTGTGTACCATGTGTACCCACAGAAGCCAGAAGAGGGTGTTGGATCCCCTAAGACTGGGGTTATAAACAGTAATGAGCTGCTATGTGGGTGCTGGAGATTGATCCTGGGTCCTCTGGAAGAGCAGTCAGTGCTCTTAACCATTGAGGCATCTCCCCCCCCCAATACAATTAATTTCCGCCTGTATTTTCACAGCAAGCCTTGACTGGCCTGTCTGTCTGGTCTTCCTCCATGTGGCTTCTATCGTGGTATTTCTGAGGGTGCATAAACCTGGCCAAACCACCTGTCCCTTGCCGAGAATGCATCCATTATTTATCATGTTCAGGATAGAGTTGAGACTACTTAGTGCTGTGAGAGGATCTGTGGCCCAGCTGCTTTTATTTCTCATCACTTCCAGAACACTCTCGACCTCCACTGGACAGACCTGCCCACCCTTCTCCAGTCAGACCACATAGTCTGACTGAATCTCCACCCAAATGTGTCTCACCTGCTGACACCTGCTATTTTCTCAACACCCCAGGTGTGTCTCTTTTAGAAGCCATCTCAGTCCTCTAGCCAAGGTCTTCTGCTCTGTTTGCCCTCTCACCCATGTCTCTCTCCCTCACTGGAGTATGGTGTCTATATTCCCAATACCTGTCTCAGTAGGATCCAGTTCACACCAAGTGAACACAAGGCAGACATCTCCCTCTCAATGTGTTTAGCAAATCACCCCAGCACACAAGCCTTGACCAGGAACCTTTCTCTGTTCTAGGAGCATGTGGGTATTCTGTTTATTCTGTCCTCCGCCTCCTCCTCTGTGCAGAATAAGGTAGAGAGCCATGGTTTGGGCTGTTGGAGGCTCATTTCAAAGGCAGAGGTGGGAAGAGAATGCAGGGTAACTGACAGTTCATGGACTTCTGTCACTCAGGACAGTCCCTAGGAGCAGAGACCCACATGTAGTAAGTGTCTACTGGCTGGATGAGTAGAGATGGGAAGAAGAAGCAGAGGGTGAGCTGGGAAGGAAGACAGCATGGTGTCATTGCACCTTGGACAGTGTCTCAGGTTAAACTTGTCTGGTGTTGGGCTGTAGCACTTGCATTTGTCTCCAGAAAGCCCTCAAGGGAAATGACAATGCCACGTGTGTCTCAGAGGTCTTGCTGCAGTGTAAGCCAGGTGGCTAAAGGTAGAGAGCAGCCTGGCTAAGAAAGGATGGGACATGCAGAAAGGATGGTGCAGGACCTCTCAAGAACTGAAAAAAAAAAAAGAAGAAGAAAAGAAACATTCAAGAAGCTGAAAGAAACCAGTCTCTCCCAGTGCAAATGCCTGAGCATCTGTCCCTCACCAAGCACACACAAGCACGTACCATGCCCTCTCTCATGTCTCTATGCCCTGTCTCATGCCCCCATGCCTTCTCTGATGTCCCCATGCCCCCTCTCATGTCCCTATGCCCTCCCTCATGTCCCTGTACTTTCCCTCATGTCCCCATGCCTTCTCTGATGTCCCCATGCCTTCTCTGATGTCCCCATGCCCCCTCTCATGTCCCCATGCCCCCTCTCATGTCCCCATGCCTTCTCTGATGTCCCCATGCCCCCTCTCATGTCCCCATGCCCCCTCTCCTGTCCCTATGCCCTCCCTCATGTCCCTGTACTTTCCCTCATGTCCCCATGCCTTCTCTGATGTCCCCATGCCCCCTCTCATGTCCCTATGCTTTCCCTCATGTCCCCATGCCCCCTCTCATGTCCCCATGCCTTCTCTGATGTCCCCATGTCCCCTATCATGTCCCTAGGCCTCATACTGTCTTTTGGGGGCCTGGATTCCTGTGCCCCTCCTTTCAGCTGGAGAGCTCTTGCCCTCAGCCTGACTCCAGTGCTCTTCTTCTGTCCCCATATCTTCTGGACCAAAACGTCTCTGCTCAAGGAACTTGATACAAGCTCCTGGAGCTATCGGGTACCCACACTCATCCCTGCTCCAAAGGTGTGTCACATCATCAGGTATGCTACCAGTGAGCCACACCCCCAAGCCCTCCCGTTTGGACAAGGTTGCCTATGTTACTTGGTCCTCCTGCCTCTGAGTGCTGGGTAGATAGACTTTCATAGTGAGGTAAGAGCTAGCATAATGCTAAGGTGTTATGGCTTTGGATGCCTGTGCAGTCCCATCTCTTGGAGCAGGTTTGCTGACTGGACATGCTGACCAAAACCTGTACATTGCTTTCTTAGAGTGACTTCAAATCCTCTGTTGGGCTGCTTTTCTCACCTGCAATATTGGATCTTTCCCACTAGGTGTCGCCCTCTCATCAGCATCGGAAAGCAACTTCCTTTCAGAACCTCCATTCTCTGCTAGGGGGCAAGGGAGACCGGTCCAGCCTCTACTTGGTAGAGGGGTCAGAGGACTCCAGTACACCGAGCAGGTAAACGGGGCACAAGAACCTGAAGGACAAACTCAGAGTGGCCAATGGAGCTAGACACTTAGTCCATTCTTCCCTGGGCACCACAGCTGTGAGCTAGTCTGTCCCATTAAAAGGAAGCGAGGCAGATGAGAGACAAGTGACCTCTGCCCTTGCCTTGTGCGGGTGAGCCCTGAGAGGTGCAGGTTTGCTGGAGATGGCATTGGGAAGCTCGAAGCCTCTCTCCCTTGGCTGTGCCGTGACATCCTAAAATCGATGTTCAGAGTTCTTTATCACAGATAAAGATCCCTTTAAACACCCGGAGAAGAGAACCCCAAGAGGCCCTTGCTTCCTGGCCCCTGCCCAGGTTCTCTTGCCTATCTGCTTTTACCCAGGGCTTCGTGGAAGGACTTTGGGATGGAGGGAAAGGGTTAACTCTTGAAAACACTGTATAAATTATAGCTTCCCTCTAACCCTCAGAGATCTCTTCCAAAAAAAAAAAGTTAGAAACCAGAGTCCTTACTTCAAGTCACTTTGCCATGAGGAGCTGCAAACCAATGGGGAAACTCCCATCTTCACCCTGGCTGAGATCAGAGAACCCCCAACCCCTAGCGTCAGGTTCCTGTGTCAGAGGCACGGGTCGCCTCAGGGCCAGCCCTGGTGCCTGGCCCTGCCTTTACTGTCTTTGGTCTCCTTGTAGGCCGGCCAAGGCCTTTCCCCATCGGGCACTCAGTGTGGAAGATGTGAGTGCTCCTAGCCTGGCTCGCACCGTGGGCCGTGTGGTGGAGGTGTTCCCAGATGGCACGAGTCAGCTGCAGCTGCAGCGACCCCCAGAGGGCACTTTTGGTTTCTGTGTGGCCTACGGCAATGGCCGTCGAGATTCAGGTAGGCCCTTGGGATCCTCAGCAGAGTCCCCCGTTGTGTCTGGCTGAGCAATGGAGAAGCGCTTCCTTCCCTCCAAAAACTTTTACTGGGCACCGGCTCTCAGGAGCCCCTGCTGCTGTGGGGGTTGAACTGGCAGATTTGACTGTACTGTCCCCCTGCTGTCCTGTAACATCTTGAAATCAGAGTCCTCGAGGCTTTTTCAGAGAGGCAAAGGAAAACTGTGTGTCTGCGCTTGCCAGTTCTCGGCTATTCCTTTGATGTGGTTGATGTATTTCAACGGTTCCTGTCCTCCAGCTGCTGGTGTGTCTGGGCATGTGGAGTGGGCCTGCCTGTCTGCAGTCTTGTCCACCACCACCCCCACCAGCTCCTGGGGGCTTTGTTCAGATGGATTCTGGCTCCAGGCGCCTTTCTGGGTTGCCTTTTGTGTCCTAACTCAATCCCACTGTCACTGAATTCTGACCAGTTCTTGGTCCCTTTACATCCGTGGGTCCTTCATAGACACCTGACTTGCCCAGGCCAAAGCTTGTGGTCCAGAATGCATTTGGGTACAAGAGATCTTGAAACCTATGCACAGGCTATGCTAAGTAGGGAAGATTGGGAGGTATGCTGAGAAAGGACAGAGGAAGGGAGGGCAGGCAGAGGTAGGGAGGGAGGGGTGGCTTTGGAAAGGCAAGCCCAGGCAGTGCTCCTGGGTCCAGCAGAGGCGGAGTAACTGCCCTGCTCTTGAGTCTCCAAGGTCAAGGCTATTTAATTGAGAAAGCCCTCCTGGTGGTGGGGTTTGCAGCACAGCTTGTGCTCTTGCACCTGACTTGTTCATCACTCAGCATCTTCCAGGTTCCGACTCATCAGTACTGTGGGTGACAGCTCCGCGTGGAGCACACAGACCTCTGACCTCATGAACTAGGGTGCCCGGCCGGGCCAGCTCTACAACCTGACTTACATGTTTTGTATTGTGGGTGTGACATAGTGAAAGGCACCAGGAAGCAAATGTAAATAAAGCAGGTGTGGCAGGTGCCATGTAGACCCACTTGAGTAGACATGAATGGATATGGGACGAAGAAGGGAGATGTGTTTCAAGGACAAAGGTCCTAAAGAGCCATGATGTTTGTCCGTCAGGCTAGAGCTGAGCTCAGAGAGAGGCTGCAGGCTATGCTGTCCTGAGGGACTTGGGGTTCCTCATGGAGTAGGACAGGAACCGTCTACCCCGAGAGAGATGTTAAAGCAGATGGGTGATGCCAGCTGTGTGGAGATTTCACTGTGGGACAAGGACAGGCACTGCACTGATTGCCATAGTTCAGGAGACAGACAGAATGGCAGGTGGTACTGGGGTGAGGAGAGGCTTTAATCTGGCTGGTTTACAATTAGTGTGACCTGAACTTCTTGGGGTGGAGGGAGACTGGGAATGGGGTAGGCCTCCCCCAGTTTGCCTAGGGAGAGTCACATGCCAGTGCACTCAGGGAACTGACATTTGGGGAAACAGTGTCATCCAGGCTGTCTCCGTGTCCCTCGTTTGGATGGTCCTGTCCAGTTGGTGTCAAGCGCTTGTGGCTGTTTTTAGCCACCAGATGTCACCCAGAGATCTCACACTGGGCAGTGCGGTGGCTGTTGCTGCCCCCACCGCATGCCCTCCTCTAGCTGCTTAGGGACACTTCCCCTGAACCTCAGAGGAGCCACGGCCTGGGGCTGCTCTGGGTCCTTACTAAGATCAGTCAGGGTGCCAGCATGTGTCCCATCTGACACCACACCTACGAAAACAGCAGGCCCTGGCTCTGGCTTCTAACTGGCTACACCACAGACATCTAACATCCTCAACAAAGGCTGTCTCCAGCAGACCACAAATGCCAGAGCTGCCTTGCAGTCACGATTTCAGCTGGGAAGCCTACCCAAGTCTCCCCAAAATGGCTGGAGTGACGTCAGTGTCTGGTCTGGCTTGGCTACATTCTTTTGGGTTTTGTCATTCCTCCCCACCTGCCTCTCCTCCTGCACACCAAACACTTCTGTGGGTTCATGTGGGGAGGTAGGGGGTGGCTTCCTCTCTCCATGCTAACAGTGTGTATACCCAGCAGGTAAGTTGTTCAAGCATCAGAGAAAGGAGCTCAAGGATAGGGCAGGGCCCCAGTGGAAAAGCCTTCTGCCAAAGGGTGGTATACACTTGGTCACTTAGAGACTGAGCATCACTGGAAAGACTATCTTGGCCAAGAAGCACAGAAAGGGATGTCCACACCCCACACAGGAGAGGAAGTGTGTATGCAGCTCAGATTGGCCAAATGGCAGCAAACTTTTAGATGCCTTGGTGAAGTTGTAGAGTAAAGCTGTATTTAGAGTCTGGGTTCTCTGGGGACCAGAGGCTGCAATGAAGGCGTTCCTCCTGGTCCATGAGCCAAAGTACCATTCTGCACAGTCCATGGTGCTTCAAGCCAGAGAAGGAGGCACCAGAACAGACATCCTGCCCAGTCTGTGCTGAGCTACTGACTGAAGGCCATGGAGAACCTATCATGTAGGTGCTTGCTGTGTTTCTCAGCCCAGCTGGTGAAGGGGTCAAGACTGTCCCCAAATCCCACTGTATTATCGGATGCAGGAAAGTCACCCACAAAGGCTGTTCCCCACTGTCTTCCAGCAGGCTGGCTATGCTCACACAGCAGAACATGGCAGTGGGCTTCATTTTTCTCCAGAGGAACCTGCCAGTATACTCTGTCAGATGGGGGCAGCTGACAGAGAACTTGAGAGGTGTCGGGCTCTCAGCTGGACACTCCTGACCTGTGGCAGCAGTGGCTGGAGGCCCAGGCCTCCATAGCCTCTCCCACAACATTGGTTTCCTGAGAGTTAGCCACAAGTCCCCAATAGAGGCTTGGTCTGTACATTTCACAACCCAAGGAATGATTGTGCTGGCTAGGCCAAGTCTTTTGGAGTGGTAGAGATGAAAGGGTGCAAGAAAATGGGACAAGTAAACCATAAATGTGGGCAGAATGTTTCTTTTTCTGGACCTTGGCCCCAATGCCCCCAAATCCTGAGTGAGGCTGAGGCCAGGGCAAGTCCTGGACAGTACTGTAAAGCAAATTTGGTCTCAGCTACATCTAACACTTTAGTGACACTGTCCCCCACCTTGGCCATTGGGCTGAGTCTGGGACTTTTGAGCCATCAACTACATCTATTTGAGTCCTGAGCAACATAGGCAGGACATAGAGCAGACATTGGTCTTCCTTTTTAAAATGACTTCCTTTCTATGCTAAAAGCTGCTATCAGAAAAAGGTAGGCTGGTTTATCCTTACTAAACTGTAGATGAATAACGTCTTCAAGCATCATTTGCACGGATTGTCCTGTTCTGAAAGAGGCTACAGAGAATGCACGGGGAGGCGGGCAGGAGGAGCCAGTGACATGTTTCTCTGAAGCCAGCTGTGAGGGGTGTGTGTCACGTCGTCCTGGGTGATTTCTCATACCCCCTCCTCTTCTCCTTTGCAGGACTCTATGTGCAGGCCATGGCTGACCTGGATACTGCCAAGCTGTACTCGGGGCTGCTTGGGGTGGGGGATGAGATCCTGGAGGTGAACGGGGCCAAAGTTGCTGGGCTGGGTTTGGCTCACATCAATAAGCTCCTGGCTCGTGTGGAGAGCTTGTCGGTTCGTGTCTTGAGACAGAGACCTGTTCCCCAGTGACCCGGATGTATTGTTGCTCTCACTGGTACTCCCTTAGAAGCCCCAACTCCCACACAGCAAAAGGGGCTGAAATATACCGCTCAGAGATAATTTGTGGATGGAAAATGCAATTCACAGATCAGGGTGGCATCTAGTTGCCTGGGATGTGGCAGAGCTGTTTTATTTGGCCACCTGCAGGGAGAGACGAAGAGCCTGTGTTTCAGTTAAGGTCACTAGTTTATGCAGATCTGGGGAAAGAAAATAATGGTCTTCTTCCATGACAGAAGTGGTGGCAACAGGATGTGTCTCTTTGTTGGAGGGAGGGGACAGCCACTGACTAGATCCTTGAGTTGGTCCCTGAGAGCTGGCCTCACCGCCTGGTCACACTCACTGGAAACCTCCCCAGCCCCCAGCACACCAAAGGCAAAGTGGCTGCACTGGCCTTGTGCCTGTCTCTTTCAGCTGAGGCTTTGCCTGGTTTCCATGTGACCACACCCTCGCTCCTGATCCAGTAGCGGTTCAGTGTCTTGGCAGAGCCCGACAGCCAAGAGTGCACATTCCAAACCAGGCACTGGGAAGTATGGCCTGTGAGGAGAGCTTATCCCCTTCTGGGATGGCAACATCAGAGAGCTTCTGGGAGCCAGAATGTTAAGAATTTCTAGGAAATTTTTATGATCAACTCAAATGTTGAAAAAAAAATGAGACTATTGCCATTTTCAGTAAGTGTGGCAGTGATACTAAGGGTGCAGGGGTGGAGGCCAGCTCAGCCAGCCCTTTGCCTCCACCCCTGCTTAGAGGGCCCCGTGGCTGTTGCAGCCTGGCCTGGGCGGGCCTTGGTCTTTGTTCTCTTGTCCAGCTTGGAGACAGGACTGCAGCTGGTGTCTGGCTGTCCCCCAGCTGCAGAATTCCTGTCCAGACCTCCCTGGTGGCAGCTGTGGGTGGGCAGCAGGCAGGGAGGCTGTGTGCTGGGGGTGGCCATCCCACCTAGCCACAGCCTGCTCGCCTTAGAGCCTGCCCAGGGGCTCAGGACCCTATAGATGCATGGACAGGTGTCAGCCTTAAATTCTTAAAATACAAAGCCAAAGCAAAGCTGCTTCCATTGGAGTTGCTGGATTCTGTGTTCTCTTGACCTTTGTGAGCCCTAAGAGGCCTGGGGCTGGGCAGGGGCAGAAGGGTACAGGTATGGCAAGAGGACACTGGGTGGGGGCAGGTGGGGAGGCTGCAGGGGTAGGGTCAGAGCCAGGGTAGATGGAGAAGGTCTGTAGTCCTTGAGTAAAGAGAGGAGCCTTTGCATGGGCGAGAACAGCTAAGAATGTTGACTAGGTGCATGGAGGGGTAGAGCTCACTATTAATTTGAAATTTGCCATGGTACTAACTATGGTTAAAAAACCAAAACAGGAGCTGGAGAGATGGCTCAGTGCTTAAGAGCACTGGCAGCTCTTCCAGAGGACCTGGGTTCAATCCCCAGCACCAACATGGTGCCTCTTAACTGCATGCAACTCCAGTTTCAGGGGATTCAACACCATCACTTAGACATACATGCAAGCAAACCACAAATACACATGAAATAAAAATGAAAAGATTACAAAAAACCAAAACAAAACCCACTTTCATCCAAACTAGGTGTGTCACAGGCAGCTTTCATGGGACAAGGAAGACACTGAGGGAGGCATGGGCCTGTGGAGAGGTGACAGTGTGGCCTCAGTCTGTGAGGCCAGGAGATGGGACCTTCTCAGCAGAAATCATTTAAAAACCTCGGCCCCAGAGGCTGAGGAGACAGGGGGCAGGAGAGGGAGAGAAGTTGGGGGGCATGTTTCAGAGCCCCAAGAGTGCAGGAGAGGTTGGCTAGGGCCACCCCAGGCTGGAGAAAGTAAAGCAAGTGCATGAAGCTTCATGGAGTAAGGAGAGTACTGGGGCACCCCAGAGACACCCTGCCCCCCTCGACCCCTTCCCTAAAGAAACAGCACCCCTAGCAGGAAACTACAGCTCTGGGGAACCTGGCAGCCCCTGCAGGCTATTTCCTGGCCTGGAGCTGCAGCTGGAAAAACTTCACCTTGGAAAAAGCATCAGTAGAGAACGTCACCTGTTTTCTAGGTCACTTGGCTTCTGGAGAAGTGTATCGAGGGCCTGGGGCTGGGAGGGAGTGGGGTGGGGTGGGCAGTCCTGGCAGGCACTGGCTAGGCATATCCTACTTAGTCTTTAAAGGTCCTACCAGGAACACCCTGCTTCCTGTCCTTTCCGGGGTGGGAAACCCAGGCCAGTGCCAGTACAGGTGTCTGCCTGCTGTGCGATCTATGTGTCACTCTCTAGCCTTCCCCTAGTTTTCCTCCCCCAGTGCCAGGAAAGGACAGATCCAGGGCAATAATGGCTCTGCAGCCTGTGACCTGGATCTGAGGTACCGATTGTGGCCTCTGCTCTTGCCTGGGGTAAAGCAATGCTGAGGTCCCTGACCTGTGTACATGGGGGGAGGGGTTGTTCTCCCCGGCATCTTCTCTGATCTTCATCATCTGCTTTACCTGGAGAGCTGCTGACCTAGAAGGCCCGGTCCAGCCCTTCTCCAAATACCAAAGCACCAGAAACTTCTAGAACTTAGTTAATAACCATAAGCAAGACCTGGTGAAGGCCAGGGGGGCCTGGGAAAATGAGGAAGACTCCATGAGCACAGTGCAAGGGGCAAGTGCACCACACCACCAGGCAGTGTGGCTGAGAGCCTGACAGCCTGGTACACAGCCAGAGAGGACTGGTGATAGATGGGGAGGGACCCAGAGCGCCCAAGCAGGGTGTGGTGAAGTGAGAGCAAGGATACTCGGCCATTAAAGAAACACACCACGGCCAGGTGGTGGAGGCCCATGCCTTTAATCCCAGCACTTGGGAGGCAGAGGCAGGCAGATCTCTGAGTTCGAGGCCAACCTGGTCTACAGAGAGAGTTCCAGAACATATAGGGCTACACAGAGAAACCCTGTCTCAGAAAAAAGAAAATACACACCTTGTGCAAAGACGTGGGTTTCCCCCTGAGTAACCTGTGTCCCTTAAGCTCACAGATGGCAGCTGGAGTTGGGGACCACAGAACAAGTGCCCAGTTTGGTCTCAAACAAGCCAGTCTCCTGAGGGGGCTGTGGGGCAGGGAAGAGTGGAGGTTGGAGAGGACCTCAGAAGGCACTATTATAAATCAAGCCTTGCTTCTGCGTCCAGTAAGAGGACACTGGTAACCCCTAAAGTGTGCCTCTGAGGTAACACAGAAGCTGGCAGGAACCGAGAGCAGGATTCCCAACGCTAGGCACTGTGGGTATGGGATTCACCTTGGAGAGTAGAAAGTGTACTGTAGGCCTTGAGGCCAATAGGTAACTGTCACTCTGCCAGCCAGCCAGAAGCATCTTTGTTGCAACACTCACACACATCCTAAGACAAAAGAGTAGAGGTGCAAGTCCCTGAGGGTCTGGGCAGGCCACAGGCTAGCTGTCAGCTGCACCTTCAAGGCCACTGGCCATTGAGGGAAGTCCCAGAGGGCTTGCTCCTGCCAAACTGAGAACACCACAACCTTGTGTTCACTGACCTGGATGAAGATCCAAGTCTGCTCTCGAGGACAATGCAGTGGAGGGCGGGGGTGCTGGCTGAAGCTGACACAGGGCAAATGCTGGGCTGCACACCCTGGGCCCAAGTGTGCAGGGTCCCCAGATCTCAAGCATGATGGGGAGCCACAGGAGGCATGGCTTACAGTTTGAAGTTAGCTGGGGGACAGGGGCAGGCAGAGGCACCAGCCCATTCTACTGACCTTTATAGGGGAGGGTGCTGTACTTTAAACTTTGAGGTCCAGCCTCCCTCCACCTGCAGGAGAGATGGTCTTCCTTTCCTTTTTGTTTTGGTTTGTTGTTGTTGGTTTATTGTTGTTTGATTTTTAAGACAGGGTTTCTCTGTATTGCTTTGGAGCCTGTTCTGGAACTCTCTGTAGACCAGGCTGGCCTGGAACTCAGAGATCCACCTGCCTCTGCCTCTGAGTGCTAGGATTAAAGGCTGGGCTACCACCCAACCCTGGCAGTGTCTGTCAGAAAGTGGAATGTATTGTGTGTTGGGGGAAGGGCTGGGAAGCAGAGTGCCTCCCACAGGACAATGACAAATTCTCTACCACCTTGGGTTGAGTTGGTAGAACTGATGGAACCCAGGTGCAGTCTTTAGAGAAGGACATCTTTGGTTCTAAACCCAAGTCGCCAAGACAGACACCTAGAAGCAGATGTGTAAATGCAGCTGGACTTCCGGGCCCTTGACTGGCCCCAGGGAGGGGGCTAACCACTGTGGGGATCCGGGACAAGGCTCTGGATGCCGGCTGCCCTTTCATGGGGCTCCAGCCCCACACACTCATTTACCCTCTCATTCTGTTTATCTGTGGCCTTTGCTGGACCGCTCTCCCACCTACCCACTGCCTGGCAACCTTTCCAAGGACTAGAGAGGTGTCTCCGTCCTGGGGAGCAAACATGACACTGCATGCTGGTGTTGGTTGCCTCCTTTAATTCTCACGATCGTGCAATCAGGGACTTCAGATTGTGGCATACTTGTGTTGGCTTATCCTTCAGACTTACCTGGCAACTGCTCCGCCCTACTGCGTCCTCAGGCTCATTCTGAAACTATTCAAAAGCCCTACTATCCCCGAGTCCCTTCCCACCATGCTCTGTGGCATCTCTTTCCTATGAGCCACAGCACCTGCTCAGAAATGGCAGCAGCCTTCCTTGGCAAGCTCTGCCCAGCTTTCAAAGGCTGTGGGTTTGGCCAGGTCCCTGTGCTGGGCCCGAGGATGGGGATTGCTGGGACTGGCTCAAATACAGTGCCCCTGGAGCCAGGGCTCAACAGCTGCCCTTGCCCATCCTGGAGGGTACCCAGGGCTGTTCTGCAGATGCCCAGCCACCTGGAGGCCTGCCTTTGTCTTGTCCTTCTGAAATCTGGGCTCCAGGCCTCTATGACAGCATGGGGCTACCCTTGGGGCTCTGGCCAGTTGCCCTGCCCTTTGGGATACCAACACCTCCACAATGGAATCAGCTATAACTGTGAGATAAGGCAAAACAGCATGCCATGGGCTACAAGAGACCCCAAGGCAGGGGGTCCATTCCCCCCAGGGGGCC